GCACGCGCCCGCCCTCGCCCAGTGAGCGCTGGGACGATGTTGATGATGAGACAACTTCTTCCAGCGCTCACTGTACGTGTCGTCCAAGTTCGCTGCTAAGTGTATAAATTCATGTAATTCCTCGATAATTGACTGTTACTGCTATCCTTAATTTACCATTAAGAAAGATTACCTGAGCTATTTTGGGTTCAAAAGACAGGACGAAATATGACAAATTCAATATGTCAGATTTTTTTTTTTAAAGAGTAGATTTAAAGATATATATGTTTTTATTTATTTTTTAGAGAAAGAGGAAGGTAGAGGGGGAGAAGGGCGAGAATCATCAGTAGATCGATCCGTGGCCTCCCTTAAGTACCCCCACCGGGGATTGAACCGGAAACCTCTGCACGTGCCCTGACCGGGAAGCAAACAGGTGTGACCCTTTGGTGCCTGGGAGGACGTGCAGCCCACTGGACCACACTGGCCAAGGCTGATGTCAGATTTTTTAACGTAAAGTGTCTTCTAGCCAGTGATCAGCGTTCAGCGTTTTACAAAATAGACCTTTAGCCCCTGAAGGCGGAAGCCTTGGGTTGGATGGAATTCTGGCTCCATCACTGACTAGCTCTATGACCTTGGACAAGTGACCTAACTTCCCTAATTGCTCCTTTCCCTTTCTGTAAAATACTGATAATTATAGGGTCCACTCTTAAGGTTCTTTATGAGGATTAAATGAAAAAAGACAACAACAACAATATAAAGTGGCCAGAAAATGGATCACATAGTAAATGATCAAAAAATGTTAACTATTACTATTTTAAATAAAGGATTAGAGAATTAGGAGCTTGAATTAACTTGGATGTAAACTTAAAGTTGTGGTATAATTAGAATTTAATATTGCTTTAAGTGTGGTAAAAAGTCTCAGCATTGTTGTAAAGCTTATACTTAAAGCAGCCAAAGTGAGCACTAAAACAGGAACATTAGCCACATTGCAGAAGTAGGCTTCCCTGTTGCATACCTGCTACGGCCACTCTCAAAAATGAGAAACTCTGTACTTGACTGAGTTGGAAAAGCTGAATTACCAATTCATGATTGTTTGGAAATAATGCATATCCTGAAATTTTTATGTTAGGAAGAAAATATAATGTACAGAGCCTTGGTTAGCACAGCATCTTGGGGGTAAATCTATGGCATGTTAAATTGAAGCTATTCACATAAATGAGACTCATATCTATTGGTTAATAGAACGTCGATTTTGATAAGAGCTTCTTTGACAAGTGAATTCAGACTTAATCAGACTACATAAGTAAATACAGATTTTTATGGCATTCATTTTTTTTAGAGGTTGAGATGTTTATTATGTTCTAATAAAATGCAACCTGTGACCATTTCACAGTGACATATATTTGTCAAAAATTGGGGTTGTATTGATCAAAGATTATGGTGATTATAGAAAAATTTTAACTGGGAAAGGCTGCCCACTCTGATGCGCCCCCTCCCCCATCTATACCAGTGATCACTTCAAAAACATGGATATAGAAAACATGAACAAAAAGGTTAAGGTAAGGAAAAAATGAAGATGGGCTCTACTCAGCACTGTGGAATAAAACTGTCAAGAGCATATAATCTTTTATATGGAGCTGTTAGATTCTGATAAGGTTAAGTGGTACTTGTTCTCTCTGAAATGTAAGTGGTAGAGTTGGAGAGTTTCCTGATATAAGGTCAAGAAAGGGAAAAAAAGAATTAGTAAGAAGGAGTTCAGAATGGTATTTAAAACATTTTCCTGACATTCTCTGCAGATGGAGATTGCAGTAGGGCATATGGTATGCTTTCCTTTCAAGTAACATGAATTCCCTGTAATATTAGGAGAACACCAAGACCTTGATTACCCCATTACTGCCCCTTCTTGGTTCTGGAATATATTTCCAGAGATCCTCTGTCATGCCTACCCACACACAGATAGTTTAGACAGTAACCATTATTCTCTTTTGGACTTACTCTTGATGAACAAAAATTCATGCAAGAATTCACTCTCTGGTTAAATAGTTCATTGGCTAAAAGAGAGCTCTCCAAGTTTATAGTCTGTTCTCTCCCTTTCCTACCTCCTACTCCACCACCCTTAAAGTGGCTCATTAACAGTTTTTAATGTTTTAGTTTTTGTTATCGTTGCAGTAAAAGTTTACTTGAAGGGTGTAATAATGGAAGTTTTAGTCATTCAGAAGCTCAAGGATGATTAGTATAAACGGGCCTGCCTCAGATATCTTGAGGTCTCCCATAAGTGAGGCTAGTAGCTCACTGTCCGCCCGTTTTTTTCTGTTTTATTTGCTGGGTTCCTGCTGCATACTAAACTTCACATTTTCTGTCCCAAAAGATTTACAGTGAAATGGGAGATGACAAGTGAATAATCATATTACAGAGTTATTGTGAGAAAACATTGGAGGGGAGCTAACCTAATCTTTAGGGGAATCCAGGAAAGAAAAGTAGAAATTAGGCAGTGAAGCTTGGCCAGTTCACAGAAGAGCCCATAAGCCACATTAAGGAGTTTGGACTTTACTCTGATCAGTAGGAATGAATGATTACTAAGGTAAGCACCATAAAAATTCAGGTCCTCATCTTTATAGGTAGTTTTTATTGCTTACATTTTGTGTCCTGGATTTGTACAGAGATAATGTTGTTTATATAATAGTCGCTTTCCATTTCATCTTTGATTTCTATCAAATATTTTATAAAAACTTACCTTACCTGTCAACCACAGGAACCTGGCAGGCAACCTTTGGGTTTAAAGAATTTTGTTTCATTATAATGATCCCAGTAATAGATAAATGAAATTTATTTTACAAGTCCTCTCTCAGAACTTATGCTTGTTTATAACGTATTCTTGAATAAAGTCATTGTACTAGCTATCAGGTTGGCAATCTCTTGTGTGGAAATGGGATATATTCCTGACTGACAGACTTTTTGAATGAGCTCATTCACTTTTTTTAGTCTGTGAGTAGGATCTGTACTTGTTAATACACTTGGCACCACTTGCATAGATCCTAAATTTTCTATTATTGAATTTTCTATATATACTTTTCCAAGTTTCTGAAGGGATATGCCACCCCAAAATATGCCACTTGGGATAAGATTATTTTGAGCTGAAGACAATTAATCAGCGGCAAATGAAAAAAAGAGCTCTTTTTCCTCCCACTATCTGCCTAAAAGTAGGACATAAATTTCCCTTTGTGAAGGTCTTCTCTGTCCCCTCTGCTATACCAGAAGGCGGACAACTCTTGTCACTGGAGACAGAAAGTTGGCATCAAGATGGGCTGCATAAACTTTACTAAAATAACCCTGTCTTCTGTTATTTTTTTCCATATAATTACTTCCCATAATTTATCATCCCTAGAAGCCCAAACCCTTTTTCTCTGTCTTGTCACTTCTCCACAAATTGTGACCCTTTGTTAAAATGCTGTATAAGCCCCTGAGTCTAACTACTTTGGGTCTCTACTTCTTTTTTTTTCTTGCAATATTGATTAAACTTTGGGGTAAATAGAATATTTTTAGCCCGGCCGGGTGTGGCTCAGCAGTTGAGCGTCGACCTGGGATCCAGGCGATCGGGGTTTGATTCCCGGTCAGGGCACATGCCCGGGTTGTGGGCTCGATCAATGACTCTCTCATCATTGATGTTTCTGTCTCTCTCTCTCCCTCTCCTTTCCTTTCTCTGAAAGCAATAAAGATATAAAATAAAAATAAATAAAAATTTTAAAAAAGAAAAAGAATATTTTAGTGATTATCTCATGTGATATTGTTACACTTTCAATATTTTCTTTCTATGAGTGTTAGGATACTTTTTTTTTAAACATTACATTTTAATTTTTAGTTAGAAATTTTATTTCAAACTTAAATAAAGTTGCCAGAATAGAGGAAAGAACTCTTGCTTTTCTTTCCACCAGATTTACCAACTGTTAACCTTTGCCCCATTGCTTTCTCTAATCTATAGTCCTTATTTCAAATCTTGCTACTTGTCCCAATAATATCCTCTGTAACAGTTTTTATTCTGGTCTGAGATCCCAAACAGGATCATACGTTGCATTGTTTTCATGTCTCTCTCTCTTTTTAAAATTTTTATTGTTGACAGTATTACAGATGTTCCCCATTTTACCCTCTTTTGCCCCCTCCACCCAGCCCCCACTCCTCTCCAGGCCTTTACCACACTTCTTTTTTACGAAGGTCTCTGTGCAGAAAAAATTAAAATGTTAACATCAAATAAGATGTGTGTACCTTTTCTCCTGTTAACTTATCTTTTGTCAGTTTAATTCACACATTCTGGAGACAGAACCTTAAGAGTAGAGAAAAAGTTTTTTTCCTCCCCTACAGTTCTAAATTATTTCAGAGTTTATAGTTTTTAATGACATGTTTGTTCTGTGTTGTGCTATTTAAATATTGACTACAACATTGATTTATTTCTCTCGACCTTTAGCTTTTTGATCAGTGGTTTTCAACCCTGGCTGGATAACAGAATGATCAGTGAGTCTTTTTCAAGGACCTAGATTTCTAGGGCCTACCCCAGAACAGACCCACTGAATCACACTGTCTAGCAGTGGGCCCTGAAATCTAACATCTAAAAACAGTGTCAAAGACAACTTGAGGCAGGCAGAAGTTAAAGTGGTAACAGCAAATCTTACTCAAGAACTATTGCAATCAGAAAAAGAAACCTCAGTATAGAACTGTGCTTCCTTCTGACTACAACAAGGATAAGAGATTTTATAGCCAAAGAGCAGGGTAGGTGTCCCTGGATGGAAAATTACTAAGAGGAAACATTAGGGGTAAGAGGGGCTCTGGCTAAATCAACTTGATAGGATTCTTGCTGAAGGCAGGCCAGAGTGGTAAGATTGAGGGTGGGATGAGGACTTTTTGAGGGTGGCAAATTTTTACTAAACTGACTTAGGAAGATTCTTGCTAAAACTGAACCAGGGGGGGTTAAGGGCAAGCCAGGGAGCTAGGCCTAGTCAAAAAGCGGACTCAGAGGAGACTAAGGAGGGAGTCTTTGTCAACAGCAGCAGCTACTTCAAAATATAACAAAGGTGATCCTGATGTCTGCATCCTTTGAAGCAAACACACTTCCAACAAAGATAGGGGCCTGATGTGTTCCAGGCAGTGTTCTTGGTGGTGGGGATGTGGTGGTGAATGAAAGGGCCCCTGCTGTTAGTTGGGGCTGTGATGGTCAGAGTAGAATACAGTATACCAATAAATGAACAATCAAATTTCAGATAGTGATAAGCACTATGAAGAAAACAAAAGAAGGCTATAATAGTGACTTCATAGAAGACTATATAAGGACGGGGTGCAAACCAGAAAATTGTTATTACAGGTTGTTGTTGGTCATGCTCGGTTTGGGATCTAGTAATCCAGGCAGAGAAATAGCAGATCCAAAGCCCAAAGTCAGTGACAAGCTTGGCCTATTTGAGGAACAGGAAGGAAAGCTGGTAGGACACGACCATTGTAGGTAAATGGGATGAGGGGGGTATGGATAAGGAATCTCTTAATTCCTATTAAGGGTGACTTCAAGGTTTTGGACTTAGAGCAACTGGCTCAGTTACCCTTTTAATAGAAAATTGTTAGGAAAGACTAAGGCAGATTGAGGGAAGCAAGAGATGTCCATTAGGCATGAAGCTTTAAGTAGGCTTCTGGATCTGGGACTGAGGAGTGGTGTCTTTCCCTGGGTCTTTCCACATGCCATCTTCAGGATAGCTAGATTTTTGCATGCTTGCATGTTGATCAAAGGCTCCCAAAGCAACCATTCTAAAAGAAACCTGCATTTAAAAAAATGTATTTTTATTGTTGAGGGTATTACAGATGCCCCCATTTTCCCTCTCTTTGCCCCGCTCCTCCTGGCTCTCACCCCACCCCTTGCCTTCACTACAGAAGCTGCATGGACTGTTCTAACCTAGCTTGGGAACTTGTGCAGTCACAGACTTGATGGGAAGTGTGTCAAAGAGTTTGCAGCAGTGTTTTAAAACCATCACATTACGGAATCCCTTATGTTAAGTTTGTTATCTTCAGGATTAATAATCATTTCCCTTTAAAAATAATGGTGAATAGTACCTTGTCTTTGGGATTATTAATGATATAGTACTTTTCTACTCTATATAATTAATATTGTTACCTTAAAATTATGAAGCATCTATTGATGCTGTACTTGGTGGTTCTAAAAGTCTTCATAGTACCTCCTTCCTTACACAGGTACCTAACTGAATCTTGTAACACTTCATCAAAAACAATATGATATTGAAAACAGTGGAGCTCTTAAAAAATTTGAAATTGGTTGAAGTTCTGTAGCCCTACCTTTAATGGATATAAGTAAAAAGAGGTTTCCAGTTCTGGTTCTCATTTGTTTGCTAGAATAAGTCTAAATCTGTTGTATAGTAAAATAGAAATTTCCAGTGGCTAATATTAAAGGAATTTTTAAAGAGCTTATGACTTGTGTATTATTTTTGTATTTTGGAAACAGTTTTTTTTTTTCCCCTTAAGTGATCTGGAATTTTATAATTTATTCCTTTTTATTAGACTCTATTAGAAAGGGAAAACAGGATGAGTGATTTTAATAACTTAAAATGTGTGATTCTTGTCCCTGAATATGTGTTACTCACCTTAGGAGCATTTAGGAAAAAAACCTATGCCCATTTCCTACTCTCAAAGATTCTGACTAGTTGATTTAGGGTGGGGTTCAGGTATAGGTATCTTTTATAACTCCCCAGGTGATTCTATTATGAAGCTACATTTAAAACCCACAGCCCTACTGCATCAAATTGTGCTGTTTGCTGATGCTGATCTTGGTCTCTGTAACAGGGAAAAAATAAAAAATGGAAGGCCTGCCTGATGCTGCTGCTTTTGCAACTAAACTTAAAAACACTCTCATCCAGTACCATAGCACTGAAGATGATAAGTGGCGTGTTGCAAAGAAAACGGTAAATGAATTTAATTACTTATTTGGGGTGTATCTTCTGTCTAATGAATTGGTTAATGACTTTCAGATGGATGTGCTGGATAGATAATTTTGCTAATAAAGTGGGTGGTTTAACAGGTTATAGAGGAACATAGTAATCCTGCACTGCTTTCATTAGTTCTTTAGATGTTGAACATGAGAATAGACTCATGGCAACAAGAGCCTAAAGAATAGCTCTTAAGTCAACAAATAAAATGTATCATTGTCAATTTTAGGAAGTATAATAATTGATAGTTTGGAATAATTTCAGATATTTCAACAAACCTGTGAGGGTGGCCAGTTAGTATTCTTTTTTTACCAGTATGACTTGCCTAATCTATCTCATGGCCAAGTGTTGACAGAGCCAACCTAGAACCCAGGACTCTTCTGGTTAAGTGCTTTAGCTATTCTGATATTCAGAATTTCTTGGGAAATAATCAGAAAAAAATGTAGGGACTAATTCAAGGTAGCTCTGTTGTAATAGATGTGAATTGTTTAATATTTAAAAAGATATGAGCAAGTTCAGAATGAAATATTTAGCATTTCTAACATCTTAGTCTGAATGTGTCAGTGAATACGATTGGAATAAGGGAAATGGTAATGGCCAATGAGATGGTGCCATCACTGAGTCTTCAGTGTCTGGGTCACATTAAGCTACTGAAAAATCTCTTTTGGAGGTCTATGATTTAAGTAAAATGTGAAGAACTTTAGGATAAAGAAGAAATTCAAATGTGGATCATTTATAAATTTTATGCATCTCTGAATATTTACTTAAGTTTTAATGCAAAGTCTAAATTATCAGTTTTATATCCAGAGTTCCTCTTGGGCAGTTATCACCATATACTGTTTTTATTTTTCTAGAGAGATGTCACAATTTGGAGAAAACCTTCAGAAGAATTTAATGGATATCTGTAAGTAAATTCTCAGTTTTGTGTAGCTCTTAAGACATTGCTAAACGTTTTATACACACATACACACGCACATTAATGATCACCAAATGATCATTGCCAATAAAATTAGGCCGTTGCTTTTAAGATTTAAACTTTCTGAAAAGCAAATCACCTTATAAAGTCAAAGCCTATGTTCATATCCCTTGTGCACTTGAGTTGGTAGTGAGGGGATCATAAATAATATTGTCAAGTGACTGATAAGATCTTAATTTCTTAGCATCATCTGTAAGATTATTCTAATACTCTTCTACGTTTGCTCAGTGCTGTAGCATACTTTATGCTATAAATCATCAGAAAGATAGTAGTTAAATACTTTGTCTCTACCATCACAGCATTGCTTATAATATTAAAAATTATAAACAACTTGAACAATCAGCAGCTGAAGAATTATTAAATCATGGAAATATGTGATATTTTACAGTTTTTAAAAAGCACATTTTAAAACATTATTTAAAAACATCAGAAAATGCTCCCCATATAATCTAAAGAGAATAAAGCAAGTATTCAGCTGTGTGTAGCACAGTCGTGAGTTGACTATATATTTTTACATATTGAAATGTTTTTATTTAATGCTAAATGTATACCTCTAGGTGGTGATTTTATAGGTGCTTTTTATTTCCACTTCTTGGTACTTGCATGTAGTTGAACATGAATTATCCCTTTAACTAGAAAAAAAAAAGAAGCATTGCTTTCCAAAGCCAGTAGGGATAATTGCCTTGTGTAATTGGGGTGGAATGTTCACATCCTTGGGACTCAGCCCTTTTTCAAATGGAACCGGGGTCTGACTTACTATATACAGAATATTCTGAAGTGTAATACTGGAGATAGTGTTTCCAGAAAGATGAGTCATACAGTATTTATGATGAGGACAGGGAAACTGGAGTGGATTAAGCATTGTAAGCAAGGGTGGAAAGTTAATCCTTTAGATCAGTAATTCCCAATGGGGGTTGAAAAGTGTAAAAAGCGATAAGGGAGCATTATGCTTGGTGATCTGAAAGGACTTCATACAGGAGCCAATATTTAAACTGAGTCTAAAAGGAAGAATTGGTATTTTTTAGGGAATAGGGGACCGATTCATATTCCAGGCAGAGGGAATTGCATCTACTACATAAACGCAGATGGGAAACACTTCAAGAAGTTTGTTTAGGGGGGTAGAAGTGTTTGTATACCTGGAACATAAAGTATGAGGGTGGTGAGAACATATGTGTGTAGGAGTTTTGAACGATAAACTAAGGAATTCAGTAATTGCACTTACTCTCTGTTCAACCCCCACCCCCACATCTCTGGTCCTCAAAGGATTTTAAATTTACTCTAATAGCATTGTGAAATGAGCATGCAGAGTTCAGAGAAGAGGTTTTACCCTGGGAGTCCATGGCTAGCTTCTTGAGGTTCCCCTAAAACTTTGTATACAAAGTTTTGTATCGCCCGGCCGGGCGTGGCTCAGCGGTTGAGCATCGAACTAGGATCTGGGAGATCGGGGTTCGATTCCCGGTCAGGGCACATGCCCGGGTTGTGGGCTAGGCAGCGATCAATGACTCTCCCATCATTGATGTTTCTCACTCTTCTCTCTCTCCCTCTCCTTTCCTCTCTCTGAAATCAATAAAGACATATTTAAAAAATAAGTTTTGTATCAATGTGTATATTCCTGGGAAGACATTTGTGGTTTTTTTCAGATTTTTAAAGAGATGTGATCAAAAGAGCTAGAGACTAAATCAATGTCGAGTTGGACACAGAGTGCACAAACTAAAGACAAAACATGGAAGTTGAAAAGGGCAAATGAACATGAAAGAGATTTAGTGATGGTGATGGTAGATGATAATGATAGTGATGACAGCATTTATTGAGAAACATATTGTTCTAAGCACTTTACATGTAGGAAATCATCTTGTTAAGATATGGTGACTTCTTGCCTGGCCGGGCGTGGATCGGCGGTTGAGCATCGATCCAGGAGATCATGGTTCGATTCCCGGTCAGGGCGCGTGCCCGGGTTGCAGGCTCATCCCCAGTCGGGGGCGTGCAGGAGTCAGCAGATCAGTGACTCTCTCATCATTGATGTTTCTATCTCTCTGTCTCCCTCTGCCTCTCCCTTCCTCTCTCTGAAATCAGTAAACATATATTAAAAGTAAAAAATATATATAAAAGAATTTAAAAAAAACCTTTAAAAAAAAAAGACATGGTGATGACTTAATTCTGACTGTTGGAATGAAAAAGTCAAAGTTGAATCCCAGATTTCTGATTTGGCTGACTAGATTGATTTGTGTTACCCTCAGCCCCCTTCCTTCACTCCAAGTTAGAGAGCACAGGAGGGAAGAACAGATTTAGGATGGGGGAGATACTATGTTAGAACTTGAAATCTGTAAAGTGATAAAACAGCTTCAGATGTTCTAAAAAAACAAAAAACACCCCCAAAGTGTTGCTGATAGAGTTAAAGTCAGCCTGTCTCTCATTTCTTCTCTTGTCTTTTCTCCCCAGAGGTAAATGTTATCTTGGAGGCTGTGTGTGTTATTTCTGTTTCATACTTTGGCCACATGTGTGTATGTGTTTCCTTTAGTAACTTGCTTTTAATTTTATCCATTTAATATTTTGTTTTTAGGATTTAGCCAGATAGATCTATTCTTTCACTTCTATATATATATACCACAATGTGTTTATCTGTTTGCAAATTTGCCTACTGATAACTTTTTAGGTTGTTGTCAATTCTTCCCTATAAAATACAATGCTATAGTAAACTTCTCCGATGTCGCCTGCACACGTGTGATTTCCTTTGGGGATGGGCCTGGGTCTTAGGGATATGCGTCATTCAACTTTACTAGACAGTGTCCAATTGCTAAGGTGGTGGTAGCAGTTTGAGAGTTCTCATTCACTTCCACTCAGTATCTCTTATTAAGTTTCTAATTTCTGCCAATCTCAGGGATATGAGATGGTATCTTGTTAGTATTTAGTTGATTATGAGTGTTGAGCATCTTTCTAAATTTATCATCATTTCCGGTCAGTCATAACATGTCCTTTGCCCATCTTTTCTTTGGATTGTCTGTCTTTTTTTCATTGGTTTATAGGAGTTAATTATACATCCTGTATAATAATTATATATCTGTTTATATGTGTTGCACATATCTTCTAACAGTATATGAGCTAGTTTTTAAAGAAATTACTTATTTTGTTATTTGTGGTTTGCAAGTTTTAAATTTTAACCACCTTGTATTTGTGTTTTTGTGTATTTAAAAAATCCCCCTGTATCCTGAGGTCACAAAGATGGTCACTTGTATATTTTTTGCAGAGTTTAGTAGTTTTTGCATTTTACCTAGCGGTCTTGACTCTATCTAGAATTAATTGTTTTCAATGATGTGAAGTAGAGATTTAGCTTTTATTTTCTCCATTAGTATAACTAGTGAATCCAAGCATTATTTACGGAATAATATGTCTTTCCCACCAATATGTAATACCGCCTTTCAAATATGTTGTTTCAATATTATTCATGAATCAATCCTGGGTGTTCTATTCCTAGGTGACCTGTTTTTCTGTTCCTAATAAAACATTTTTAAAAGTCAGGGTAACAATATGTATATATTAATAACATGTTAGAGCATAACTGAGAAAAGAGTAGCATGTGAAACAAATGGAATCATTACGTGTTCTGCAGACTGCTTTTGGCCATGTCATATCATGACGGTACTTGACTGTGTTCATGATAACATAGGCTTCAGATCTCTTATGAGAATTGAGGACAAAGAGTACATGTTGATAAAATAATTGATAGAACTTAATTTATCAGAAAAGTTGTTGGGATTTACTCCCTTTGATAAATCTTCATTAAATCTACTCTTTTTAAAGTTAGTTCTAAACTACTAGGGCATGCTGAAATTTTTCATTCTAACAGTATTTGACTTTAATATTTTTTTCTCCAGTTTCAAAGCCCAAGGTGTTATAGATGACAGTGTCAATGGTATAATGGACCATATATGCCCAGGTCCCTGTCGCTTGGATTGGGACAGCTTAATGACTTCTTTGGACATTTTGAAGCAATTTGAAGAGGTATTTGTTTAGAAATGTTACTTCAGATTGTGTGTGTGTGTGTGTGTGAGAGAGAGAGAGAGAAAGAGAGAGAGAGTGCCCATGTAGGTATGGGCATGTACACACTGCATTCATTGCTTTGAGAATAAATAGTTGTGGCAAAGATCTCACAGGGGAATCCTTGCTGCCTTTTAAAAAGCTTGAGTTAAACACCTATGGTCTACTACCTACTTCCAAATTGAAGATCGTACAGATACAAAGTGACTGTATTGAATTAGAGATTAGATACAGGGTAACATCTCTCTATATTTTGATTATATATCTTTTTCATGTATATATAGCAGCGAGATTTAGAACAGAGATCTGAACCTGTCAGAATCACTGTAAGAATTATTACTACTAATTAGAATACATTTTAAATGAGTAATAGTTTCTTACTGAAGATGAGCTTATGATATATGAGTCTGTGTATGTGTTCCCATAGTAGTAACACTTGTTACCTTTTCTCCTTAGAATTGCTGTGTGATGCGTTACACTACTGCTGGTCAGCTTTGGAATATCATTTCTCCAAGAGAGTTTGTAGATTTCTCCTACACTGTGGACTATAAAGAAGGGCTTTTATCCTGTGGTAATGATTTCAAAACCTTATACTGTCTTTCAATTTGTTTTAAATATTTGAATTTTCTAGGCTGGATGTTTCTTTCTATGCAAGATATATTTTCGTAATTATTTTATAATCACTAGGCTTTGTTGCAAATACTGAGCCCTAGGAACTAAAATAATATCAAGAAGGGTTCTGAAATCTTTCTAAGTTTTTAATTTATAGTTGCGTGGTATCCTCCAGGTCACAGCTAACAAACATGGGTCACATGACTGCCTCTAAGAAGCAGATCCAGTAAATGAAAAACAGCTTCTTAATCATATATGTAGAAAAATAGACTTGGTATGTATTAGAATATTTTCCTTCCCTGAGTTGTATAATATTCTTCTTTTCAAAATTAAAAATACTGCTTGTAGAAGGCTCCTGCTTTCTAAGATATAGGTAAGTTAATAAATTTTCTGTATATACTTGTGGCAAAGATCGTTATAGTTATAGTTAACCACCTACTTGTTTATTCTTAACCAGCTAGTACCAAAGTTGGATATGGGAATGCCTTTGGGGACTGGTGGTACCATAGGTGTGATAATTGGCACCTTGAGGCCTGGATGCAACATCCAAGATTCTTAGTATCCAAGGAGTTACCAAGATGACATGATTTCATCCATTCTGAAGGGATTAGAACTTTCCCCATTACCTATCTAGCCCCCTGTCAGAATTCTACTTGGTAATTATTATTTTTTCATTCTTTCATGGTCACTCTTAGGGCTGAATTTTCATCTACAGGGATAACAAGAAAAATGTTCAAACAAGAATCTAACAATACTTTTTAGTGAGCATTTTAGACTTATGTCAGTTATTACTATTAATGGTGTTATGTTAAAATTGCCTTGTAGGGGTAAGTCTTGACTGGAGTGAAAAGAGAGCAGACTTTGTTCGTGGATATAACCATCCCTGCGGTTGGTTTTGTGTCCCACTTAAAGACAATGCCAACCAGAGTCTTTTGACAGGCTATATTCAGACGGACCTGCGTGGGATGATTCCTCAGTCTGCAGTGGATACAGCCATGGCAAGCACTTTAATCAACTTCTATGGTGATTTACGAAAAGCCTTACAGAAGGCATAATACATTCAAACTTGTAGTACTGTGGTCCTCTGAATCAACTCCTCCTCTTAGCTCCATGGCCTGTAAAAATCATCACCCTTTCCTCTCTTTATAGCCTGTAGAAATTTGAGATATTTTGGGGTTATTCTGTTCCTAAAGTAAATAGCTGTCTAAGAGAGGGCATTGTAGTTTCCTGAAATAATTATTTGCACATTGTTTGGTATGGTAGTGTGTCTAGGAATGGAGAGTATGACAGAAATCCCTCAGGAAGTAGATAACAGTTCTTTGAGCCAAACTCTTAAGAAAATGAATAGTGCCTCAGTATGGATTTCTTGGCTGCTTGGAAGTTAGAGCACAAGCTTCATGCTCTTAGGTTAAAATCATCTATTTTAGAGCTTTATGAAAATTTTGTAAAAGTTTTGATTTTTTTTTTTTTTGATGTTAAATATTAGTACTTTACTTTTGCTATGCTCTGTGAGTTTGCCAGTCTCTCTCTAATCTTATAGACATTAACTTCATTATGAATTGACTTGCACTTTAAGTATTGAAAAGATCAGAAATAGGAAAAGGATCAATATGATAGTAAGTATAGGTTCAAATCAAATGCAATTCAATTTTGATACCTAGATAGCATTATTTTGTGGATATCTTTAAAAATATAATTGTATCTTTATGTGCATTTATTTTGGTAATCTGAAAACATTTATGCATGAATAAAACAGTACAAAAACTGCCAACTGTGTGCTGGGGGCACCACATTGATTGGCCAGTAGTCCGAGTTGTGTAAAGTGGCTGGTGGTACCTGTATTTAGCAACAAAAAATCATCTCTCCAGAAGGTCAAATGCAATGAATGTTCTATACATGTTTCAGTTTTAAAAGTATCACTCAACTCATAAAGTATTACTAATTACTTCATAAACATTCACAATTGTGATGTAACTTTTGTCTGGAACTATAACAAATGCATTCAGAGATTTATTCAAATGCTAGATGAGTCATTTTGTAACTACAGTGGACTATAATAGGTCCCCTGATTCTGCGGCTGCCTTATGGGAACATTCCTACACGATTTTAACATTCCAGGTGACTCTTTAACATTCCAGATGGCTCTTTAACATTCCAGATGAATTTGGTGTTTAAACTGTTTACCTGGTTTACTTTTAAAATGAGAACCTGAGGTAACTCAATGTGTCCAGGCAAAGTTTTGTATGCATCTGTTTCTGTTCACGTACACGTTTGGAAATCTGGTTCATTGTTCAATGTGAGTTCTTTCTGTGTTATTTCTACTATTTCATTTTTTTTCCTTTTCTTTTCTTGGTTAATATGGGGTAAAGTGAGCTCTGGAAATGCATGTCAGATAGGCCACAAAAAGCACAAGAGCATATAGTGGTTCAAGTGCATGAAGATTTGATCTGTGTTTTACTTTGTTGTGTTTTCCCAAGAGAACATAAGTCATAGTTCCTCAGACACATTTTGATAAAGTGGAAAAAGTTGAGCTGGTTTTCATCTTTATTTTTGTATTTTTGCTGTTAGCAATGATGTTCAAGATAAATAAAAGGTTGCAGCACTACAGTATCCATGGTGAATAATCTCACAGTTTTTAGATTGAAAGTAATTTGTTTCAAGATTTGACAGAAATAATGCATAAGTGATCCTATTTCCCCAACTTGAAATTTATTAATGTTTTTTCTAAACTGACTGTAACTTTGAGTTGCTGGGTTTTTTCTTCTACTTTTTTTCTTCTTGTAATAGGAAAAAACTCAGCAGTTTAGTTTTCAGTTTCCCATGGAAATTGTTAAATGTTAATTTTGACTATGTATTTTTTTTTATTTGGTTTTATTAGTGTAGAGTAGGGAGTTTATGTTCCAGATTCTAAGATGGTGAAATACTAACTGATACTCAATTACCAGGTACCCAGATTGGGTAAAGGGTTTGCAACAATACTGTGCGTAAGGGCTACAATTGCCTGACCTGGGTGCACCTACATGCAGATGAACTGGCCATGCTCAGTTCCTTTAATGTTCCCTTTGTCCTATTCAACTTATACCTCCAGTTAGTGATTACACAATCCACTGTTTACTGTGGGCCCACTGCAGATAGAAAGATACTCATGGGAAAATTTTCATTGTAATATTGAGTTATATGGGTTGAAAAATTGTATTTGAATTACCTGAAGTTTATATGCAGTTTCTAAATGGCATTTTAGATCTGCTGGGCTCTAGCTGTGTACTTAAAAACAAACAGCTTTACTGAGGTATAATTTACATGCTATGCAATTTACCAGTTGTAGGTATACAGTCCAGTGATTGTTTAATACATTTATAGTTGTGTAGCCATCACCACAGCCCAGTTTTAGAACATTTTCATCTCCCCAAAAGACTCCTTTGCCTGTCTGCAGACTCATACCTAACCAAAGTGTAGCACAGTTGTCGGTATACAGAAGGTGATGAAAGAGAGTAGAGTAGGGTTTTTCTGTTTGTTTTTAAGAGTAGAACTGTATTTTAATCTAAGCTCAGGAACCTTGTGTTAATGTATTAAAATGTATCTCAAGTACCATAATGATACAAAAATTTAATATGTGAGTTGGAACTAATGAGTCTGCTGTTTCTATAGCAGTGCTGTAGAATAGAAAAATAATATGAAACCATATGTCCTTTTGTTTTCCAGCAGCAACATTAAAATAAAAATAAACAGCTGGAGTTTAATTTTAATAATAGAGCTCATTTAATAGACCCAAAATGTTACCATTTCAACATGTAATCAATATTAGAAATCACTAAGATATTTTCTAATCTTTTATGCTAATTCTTTGAAATCTGGTATGTGCTTTACTAATTTGAACTAGCCACATTTTAAGTGCTCATTACCCACATGAGGCCAGTGGCCTGTACTGAATAGCACAGTTCTGTAGTCTATGTATTAATTTGTCATTCTGTAATATGAAGTAGAGAATTTCATGGAATTACTCTTAAATACAAAATCTTTGATTTTCGGAGCCTTCAGCACTTGCTAAATGGGGAATTCTGAACATTAGAAATGAATCACTTAGTAGTTGTCAATAAAACAAAAATTGTAGCTTCCGAAAATTTCCTTTAAAGATTACTTTTCATAAGGCAGGTAATGAAAGAATATAATCTGCATTGTTGTTATGTAGTTGATTGTTTTCTCTAGCTTATAGCTAGTTTGTATTAGAAACATGGATGCAGGAAGACTACTTGGCATAGTACTGTTTTCAGTACATGGTACCTGTTTTTTTAAGGAAATTAATTTCATACAAGAAAAAATAATTGATCATAAATGATACTTTTGCATGAAATATTAGTTCTCTTGATAACTCTTTATCAACTCTTAAAGTTTGACACAATAAACAGCAAAAATAATTATGAGAATTTAGTGTTCTGCAGTTATGTATAATAGAAACTTCTAGAGTACTAAAGAGATTGTAAATGTTAAAAATCTCATTTCACTGTTCATTGAAGTTGAATATATTTGAAATTATAGATTTTTATGTCTGATATCATCTCCCAGTAATAAAAAAAAAAAGCTTTTGGGTATGAGTTATTCCCTTTGATATAAAGTTTTACCTGTTTACTCAAGAACACACTAGCATCCTTAAAGTATGTTGTTAAAGTCCAGTGTCTTTTAATTTAGTGGGTGCTGTAGCTATCCCAACCCTCTGGATAACTGAACAGAACCCAGGGAAGGTTAGGGAATTGACCAGACTTCCATTAGAACTTGTGCTGTATAATTGTCTGACATATCTCCCCTGCCTTTCTTATTCAGCTTCTAAAGGTAGGGGGTGATGGAGTCTGAGCATAGAAGAAAAATTAAATTAATCTCAGAGAACAGGAAATTGGAATTATAATTTCCTCATTACTTTGTTGTTTCTAAAGATTTTTACATGTATAATTAAATAAAAATTCATCTCTTGCAGTCCAGATAGAGCTATACTATATATTTTAAGACATTTATATTCTTTATGAGCCAATCTGTAAAACTAGAACCTTTATTGTACTAAGAGCATATGTTAATATAAATAAAATGTGTATATATTTTTAAATTGCTATGAAATATTTCAGAATAAAATTTCTAGACTCTTGTAATTTATTTACCATTGATACTGTCTGTATAAGTTGCTTTAATCTTAAGTACTGACAAGTAGTTTCATATATCTGAACTTAAAGTATGGAATTTAACTTCCTGAACTCTTCTAAAAGTATACATATAAACTGGAAAATAAAGATTAGTAACACATATGCTAACCTCCTGTCAATGTCTCATGTAATATTAGCTACAATACTTCTGAATCCTGACTTGCTGTTATGTAGCCAGGATGATGATGACTTATTCTGCCTTTATTACTGTAACATATGGACACATGTACTGTAATATTTCTCATACATATGCTTAAATAATTGTGTTAACTTGATTAGGAATCATGGTGATAATTTTATTTGGAGTTGAAAAAGCTGGAAGTAATTACAAAGGAACACTTGATCTATGTTATAAGAAAGCAGTTATGGATACCTTGGACAGTATGCAATAGAAAATATGACTATTGAATGATTTAAACAAATAAGGAGTTACTTTTTCTCATAAAAAATCTGGATATAGATCATTGTTAGTGTTTATCAGCTCAAGAAGTCAGGGGCAGTGGCTCTCAGTTCCTCCTCACCTTTCCCTCATAGTGGTGAGGTGACTGACTAGTGGTGGACATTATATGTGCACTCAAGTCAGGAAGTAGGGGAAGGCATGATACCACTCCTCTGTCTCTTATCAAGAAGGCAAAAGCTTTCCCAGAGGCCTCTGATAGCTTTCGGTTCCAGTAGTCTGGGTCTTATGACTGGAAAGGCAAGCATAAGGATTTCCAGCCTTTTGGAGCTGGGGTTGGTAATAAGTCTTTGGGTCACCAACCAGAGCATATCTCAGTGGATCAGCTCTGGGAAATCAGTTTTTATATGATTGTTGCACTTACCTTGTACCTAATGAACCGACTTTCCAGTGGTGACAACACTGAGCTAGCAGTTGCGCAACCCAGATTTATTATCTTGCCCACTAAGACCTCAGATAAGTCATTACCTTTCTGGGCATCACGTCTCTAACAAAATGACTGTGTTGGATTAAATAATTACTACTAAGCTCCCCTTTTAACTTTAATGCTGTTATGACTTTAATGACATCACTGTATGTATGGTGTTTAAAAGTGCTATGAAACAAAGTACGATTTTTATCCAAGGGAATGGGAAAACACTCGAGAGATTCAACTCCATGTTTCAAATGTAAGGAGAACGTCCATGGTGTCTTTCTTGAGTGGTAACATTTCAAAGCACAGGATGCAAAGCTTTGGTGGGCTCTTAGGTGATTTATTATCATACTGTACATGCAGATTGCTTTACAGAATTCCCAGCAGCAAGATTTATGCTTCTCCTGATACATCTGGTGACTCACACAAAGTAACACAGGCCCTCCCTAAGGTCAGTGCCAGCAGTTTACCAACATCCATTTTCCCTCATGTTGCACATTCTCCCTTTGTGTTCCTGGGAAACACCCAAAAATGACCCTGTTTAGTCATTTAATCAGATTATTCAACCTGAGTCCAAGGAGCCACAGCTGTGTGTCACTCATGCTGCCTGCCCTGGCTTTGGGCGGCAGAGAGCCAATGTGCGTGCTGTGTCCCCTCTGTGGGAAGTTGGGACTCAGTGCCATCCCCACTATTGAAGACTGTGGGAGCTCAATCAAAGGCAAATGGATGTGATTTTGATGAGTTCTCTACAAACATTTACTGTATATACATTTATGGCCAGGTTAGACTTAAAGGTTTACCTAAAAAATTTTCAATACAATCTTTGTATTAAGGAGTCGATAGCACCATTTTGACAAGTTTTAAAAATGTTCATAGCTCCTTTTTCAGTACTTTTCAACCAGAAGTTGGGAAGGTAACCTATAATCTTGGGTATGTAAGCTAATATATATATAAGTATATTTTCCAAATCCTACATGCACTTGTTTTTGGCTAATGACTTGCAATCTAAACTACTAGAGCTGTAGGTCTCTTGTATATAATGGTGCCCAGTCATCTAATCCTCCATGCTGCGATTGAGCCACTTATGTCCCTCTAGTTCAGTAAACTTTTGACAACCCAGGAATACAAATTTCCCCTTGAAAAACTAGAAGAGACATACAGATAATGCCACATAGGCCTGAAAAACCCTAGTAGAAAGGACTCCTTTCTCCGTGCCTGCTGAGTTGTGCTTCCTGAACCCTCCCTGTACATATGTCTTAGCGCCTCTTCCATCACTCAGGCGATAGTCAATCTTTGTTCCTTCTTTCATTTGCCCTGAGGAGTGCAGCCCTTCACAATCACAGACGTGATCTGAACAAGCAAAGTGGCAAGACAACTAAAGTATATACATGCTGTAATCTGATCCTAGCTGATAAGTGTGAAAAAGTACATTTTTTGAAGACATGTGAAATACTGCCTGCAATGAATGATAAAAAAACGGGGCTTACAGGAGAGTGTAAAGGAGCAAAAGAAGAAAGGACTTGACCAGCTTGATGTTTGAGGAACGCAGTTGTGAACATTTTAAATTTCATCATCTGAGACTTAGCTTTTTCTGTACAGGTTATCTTTGGAAGAGTAAACGTGCAGGTATGATTCTATCAGCTCCTTCAGGGATTGCCTTCTCAGGCCAGATCATTTGTAAAGGGTTAAAATATCCATAGCAGAAGTAACCTTGATGTGGGCCGCCACTGACAAAGCTTTGGCAAGTCCTTAGGTGATTTCTAGAGTCACAGAGTTATTCAGATATTGGAGTTTTGCAAAATGGACTCAGATAATCACTGTCATTATTTACTCTGCTTTGTCAGTGGAGGTCTGGCCAATGCAGTCTTTGCATCCACTGATGACTTGCAAAAATGTTTTTGATGACTTGGGTGATTTTTATTCCACTTAGGGATGCCCAATTAGCAAAGTGCGTAGATCACAGAGGGCTAGGTACTCTGAGGTATTGCTGCACATGTGTCTACCCAGAATAGGAAAAGAGAGGTCTGTTGGATTCAACTTTGCCCAAGATCTGAGACTTGTGCAGACAGCAACACTTCCCTTAGAGTTCAGTCTTTCAACCCCGAGCTGTTCCTTCACCACTTTGGCATTTCTTCACTAGATTTCTCTGCTAGATGCGTGCCCCCTTCCTCCCTATCTGCAGGCACTCCCCACCCTTCACATCCAACCTGAGTTCCCCACGAAGCTTCCCTTGATCATTTCAGGCAGAAGGGAGCTTCTTTCCCTCCCTAGAGGGCTTGCTGCCTGTCTCCATGTGGCACAGGCTACAGATAAGTACTTGTCTCCAACTACAAAGCTCACTCCTAGAGGAGGTGAATTCATCTCTGACTCCTTTGAACATAACTGTTTCTCAGTGAAAGTTTACTGAGACAATGGTTCCTGGGATGGGCTACTCTTGGAAACTTCAAAATTAGCAAATAATTTCCTTAAAAGCGTGCTTGCAATAGAGGCCTAATAGCCCCTAAATGCCACTGTTTAAAATGGTTGTAAAGGAAACTTAGCTATTCATTTCTAAGGGAAGCATGTGACCTAGATATTGAGAGAAATGTAGAAATGTTAATTTAAGCCCATTAACAACTGCCTTCGAACTGAGCATTTAAGAAAAATAGGCAGGTAGGAATGTAGAACCCTAATCTACATTTTACCTTTTCCCTCTTCCATTCTAATTGTCTCCCTCCTACACACACCAACCTTGAGGAGCTGGCAGACAAGTTATCTCTTTTTTTCCTGAATTCTATAGTGTGTCCCAGTGGTTACATCATATTATTAACTGCGGCAACAGTTTAAAGAAAACAGTATATTATTTAATTAGAGTCATGATATATTTTAGGTGTTCCTAATACCAAGCTGATAATAAGGTTTCTACTCAGTATCTCATTTGTAACCTTTGGCTACAGATGTTCAAAGTCAAACACAAAGGTCGCGCATGTCTACATTTCTCAATAGCAGGGGTGCCCTGCTTCCTCTAAGGCAGATACTATGGAATGAATAATTTCTCTGTGGCAGAAATAGACTAAGAGAAGGGCCCTTCTAGGATTTCTAAATGTGGAAGAGCAATAAAGGAAAGCATTTACTCAAGGCCCCTCTTTTTCAAAGATATTAATTATGTAACAGAAAAACATGGGGCTTGAAAAGTAGCTTTTTTACATAAAGGAATTGGCCATTTGCCCTGCTCCCTGAGCTATTGATGAGCAAGTCATTGTCATGAAATGTCACATAATAGAGCACATTATTTCCTAAAAACGATTAAGTGAAGATCCAATTGATAGGAACTACTTGAGAATATTCTGAAGGACTCAGAACCAAAGGGCTCTCTTTATTTCTTAGCTCACTAAGTAACAGCTCCAGATTGACTTAAATGTGAACAAATGCCAGTGTAAGATATCATTACATGATTTTAAATATAAAAGGGGACATTTGTAATACTTTCAACAATAAAGATAAATTAAAAAAAATAATAAATATAAAGATCAACTTTCTACAACATGCTCAAAGTGCCAAAAAGCTTTTTCATTCCTCTCTCACCCAGGTCAGTCCATACTCTTAAGTTTTCTTTTTCAGGAATGATGCAATTTTGAATTTTTAGTTCTGTAGGGAAAGTTTACTGTTAGTAGTACTTTCAGCAGTTACTGTGGTAAGACCATCTGCAACAGAAATAATGCTCTGTGAACTTCCTATGAAGCAAATGGGAATAAGAACCTTAGGCTAAGGAGAAGAAATACGATGACTGGGAATCTGTATTCCTGGATGTCACCAAAAGGCATGGGGAGCCATGAAAAGCCAGGAGTTTTTAGCTTGTTTGTTTTCATCATTTTTTTCTGTAAAGGGCCAGATAAGCATTTTAGGCTTTTTTGGGCCACATGGTCTCTGTTGAAACTACTCTATACTAGTAGCATGAAAACAACCACAGACAATATATAAATACATGAGAATGGTCATGTTCTAATAAAACTTTATTTAAAAAAACAAAAAAACAGGGCTCTGGTGGATTTGGTCTGTGAACCATGGTTTGCCTAACTCCTCAAAACTGTTGTTTGGAGATTTAATTTTTTTTGTTGGGTAATTATGTGAAAATTACTTTTTAAAAAATGCACATACATTTTATATGTATATCACAAAGACCATAGATAAAGGAATGATTGGCATTCAAATAAGAAAGAGTCTAAACATTAGCCCCTAACTCCTTTACTAATAATCCCTTTTCCCTGATTCCCACAGTTCATCCGACATAAGGAATCACTTAAACCCCTGTCTGCTGTTCCTGCTCAGAGAACTCAGGAAATGTTAAAATTTCAAGGGAAACACAGTAACATCTGTTACACATCGAGTGCAGTGGTATTATTATGTTATTTGGGCCTAACTACTTAATCAATGGCCATGTTAGGTAATTCTTTTGGCTTTAGGGGGACCATGAAAATATTACTGAGACCAGGTACATGAACAGAATCACCTTAGGAACTTCCAACAAAAATAATAACCTTGACAATAAAAATGAAATTGTCACTCATGAATATGCTATCGGTACCCTATGCTGCTGCATTTTAGCTGCATGATAGGCTATAAAACAGCTCAGGTTAGAGCAGGCAGTTAGGAGATGACAGTTTTCAATTTATAGTCATACTTGCTTGTATCCTTTACAAACCAGATTAACTTCTATACGTGTACCAAGGAAAAAACGAAGAACAAATCCAGTTAATTTTTATCCACAACTGACTGTCAGAGCTAGAGTACTTAGGGAAAACAACTGTCAAAAACTTTAACATGAACCCTATTGCATTTGAGTAACTTGAAATAATCTTTTAAATGGACAATAAAGATTATTGTTTAATCTGAATGAAACAAACTGTCATTTTTTAATACAATGAATCATAGCAAAGATTCCATGGATATAAATATTCCATATCCATGGGTTTTTCCAAGTTGAGATGTCCATATCGAAATTTCTTCAAAATATGCTGGAAACAATTATTAAGAAGAACAGTGTGATCCTGCAGTCTTGGCACTGCCGTTTAGTTTCAAACTAAATTCCGGGCTACCTAGGGCCCCGCAGTTTCTGCAGCCAGTGTGGGATGCTCTTGTCAGGGTTTTAGAGAGGATCTCACAGTCCTAGAGGACAGCCTGATGGCCAGACACATGGAACACAACAAAGATCTGGGACAAGTGGTAGCAAACCAAGACACTGGGAAGAGCAAAGGATTGGTGGAATCCCATTTTCCATTACTGAGTAATGGCAATATACCAATATTCAAACAGTATCGCTTTCAATCAGAGCATGGCAAGAGATCTCCTTCCATTTGGCTCATTTGAGCTCAACCAGGTCAGATGCCTGGAGTCTTCTCTAGAGCAATGTCTGATTCCTGCGAAGGAGTCAGATGGCCCGCTGTCATGGGAAGACTTGCATCCTGCCCTAAGTGGACCTCGGGACCAGGTGACAGAGGAAAAGCTGAGTATAGAAGGAAGTTAAAAATCAAGCAGTCAAATCCTCAAGTACATCACACACATTTATGAAAATTGGAATTTTAAACAAGGAAGCATAGATTAGTCAAGCTTGTTATTGCTCTCCAAGGTAAGATTATAAATGGTTGGACTTTGTGAGCTGAGATGATCTGATCTCAGGTGACTTCTGAAAGGTGTAATAATGACAAAACCTAGTCCTTAATAGATCAGAATATAGGGAGAGAAAATGCTGAACTTGGTTACTATGGGTGGGTAGCTGATATCTCTCCTATGGTCATTTTTATTTTTTCTATTTGTCATGGAAGCAGAAAATTCCCCTGAGTTGTGCCAAGGGAGGAATAGGACTTTGAACAAAATGACAGAAAATTATTGGGTACATTTCTGCTTATCATGTGGTTATGAATATAATACCAACACTGAGATTTTATGTGCGTAAGTGTTTAAAAAACACTGAAGACACGAACACAGAGTCTAACCATTGCACAGTATTTAACCAGTAAGTGAGTAGATGTTAACCATGACCCTGATCAGGAACATACCAGTGATGAGCATTCAGAAAATGAGAATATGACCTAATATGCAGTAATTACAAGGATATTACAAATCCTATTATATAGGTAAATGTCTGGAAACTTTGCACCATCTAAAATAGTATACTGAATACTCTGCAATGACAAGTAAATTACATAATGGCATTGTAATTATGTAATTGACTCTGCTCAGTGTATTTATGTCAATTATATGTGGAGTTAACCATCAAGAAAATCCTAGTGCTGATTCACTTCATTTGCTTTTTTCTTTTTTGCATTTGCTTTGCAAGAACAATCTTAAAACAGAATAAATGGTTTACTAATTTTATTCTTTGCCTTTTCTGGCATTTACTTTTTTTTCTTTCTTTCTTATGAATTTGAAATGCAACCAGATGCTTCTGCGAAAAAAATACTGAATTATGAAACAAAATGGCTCTCTCTAGATCTTCAGTGTGTGGGCAACCCAGACGGTTACCTTGCATGTGAAACTGGAATAGGGAATGCTAGACATTCTAAGTTAGAAAATGTGTTTAAAATGTTATGTAATTGAGGTCACAGTATAAGGCAAACTGCTCTTTCTTTTTAAGTCTGCCACTAAAAATGGCTATAGAACCTTGAGGATTATTCTAAAATAGCAGTATGTAAGAAATATCCAAAAGTCTTTTGAATCAATGTGTAATGGCAGTGTTGATTAAACCCTTCGAAGAAAATCTGAAAAATGCCAGCCGATGGTCATATGCACACTTGGGGGCTGATCGTCCTCGCCGTGGAATCTTCCTCATGCAAATTTCGTATGTTTTCATAGATTTTTAGAAAGGGCTCTTGTCTGCAACACGAGGATGGTGCCAGCCTGGCCCAGGCCTACAAAATCCTATTAAGATTCTGTGTGCGGTCCTTCCTGACTGCGGACACCTGGTTCGCCCACGGTAAATACGGGTGCAGGAGAATACTAAGAGCTTCGCGGCTGTGCTCAGGAGAGACCAGCCTGTAGTCAAGATTCCAGGGCCAGAGCGATCGGAGGGACTGTGGCCAACAACTAACAATGTCCAGAAGAGTGCTGTTCTCTCAGAGTCATGCTGGGAAACACTCCTCTGAAGCGTGTGCCTAAGCGGACGTGGCCAGGAGAATTTTTACTTATTTCAGTCTATGAGTATCTGACACATTTCCCTTTTGGCCTCCTACCAACTCATCAGCGTGGGAAACTGAGGCAGCTCTAATCTAAGCACAGAAATTCAGGTGTCATTTTGCTTAGAAAATACTCTAGAAGGGCACTGTTTCAATTTTGTAGCCACTAGTCACGTGACTATTGAGCATTTGATTTACTAAAGGGGTTAGTAACATATACTGCTTTTCAAAACAGTATAAAAATAAAAAAATTAAAATATTTTTTCATATTGATGATATGCTAGAATAATAGTTTGGATTAAAATATACAGTTACTGTTGCCTAATATTTTTTGTGTGTTTTTAATGTGGTTAAGAGAAAATTTTAAATTACACGTGTGGCTTGTATCATATTTATATTAGACAGCACTTGTTCTAGATAATTTCTTCAACCATATAATTCTAACTTCTACATTATTTATGCATTCATGAAACGAATCAATGCTTACAGTCTGAGAAAAATCACTGGGGTTCCAATTAGGTTTTCAAATGGGGGAGATCAAGATTGTCCTTCATGGTAAATAGTCTAAGTTATGCTATGCATCTGAACGTACCTGAAAACAAAAATCAGTGATGGACTATGATAATTATCAGCTCTAAAGTGCAAAACATAATTTATTGTTCTTTGCTGAAATTCCCGTAATTCTTTTGCTTTAAATATAATTTGACTATATTGTTAAATAGGGGTAACATTATGAAGTAGTTCGTCAGAGTAAAGCTCTATCTGCCATTATTTAGCTAAGTAATCTTTGAGAGAGATAATATATCCCATTTCAACAAGTAATATCAATGTTTGCTGTTCTTTCAAAATGTTAACCCAGTTACCCCAACTTAGGTTGTATTTCTATGAACTCTTAGATTGAATCTCTTGGCTGAATGAACACATTTTTATGAAAGCTTGACTTGTTTTCCACTGAAATAACTAAATCAGCCACTATTTAGGCATTATCAGGACTTAATCTTTAACATACAAGTCAAAATGTACAACTCCCATTGATTTTTAGAGAGTGCAATTTACCGATTAAAAAAAAAAAGTAAATTACCTTCACACCCTCAAGTATTCATCAAGGAATAGGTACGTGCACTCATTTTAATGGGTCAAACCCTTACACACACGCTGGCCCGGGCATTTCCAGTGCTGTTCCTGCCGCCTGTAGGGCCAACCACCGAAGTCAGCCCTGCGTGTTGGGTGATATATCGGCCCTTGAGCAATATGGGCGGACTGGGAGCGATGATATATTCTGATCTTCTGACTCATGCCACTGTCTAATAAAATCCCTTTCCCTCTCTTCTTCCCATCTGTAATACATGGGACATTTACTGTATATACCTGTTAAGTCTCACTGAGAAAAGTACATTAGGCAATTGATCTTTTACAATGGAAATCTTAATGCTTAGTAAAAAAGGCATCCTTAAAGATTAAAAACAGTGAGCCCTTTATCATAGCTGAAATGGGAATTTTGAGAGAGAATAAAGCAGAAAGAGAAGAAATAGAGAGGAGGAGAAGTACTCTCTACTAGTTAATAAAAACAAAATAAAACAAAAAGTAGTCTTTCTCTGAGCCCTCACTTAAGGGCTATTTCCTCCATGCCAGTGACCTGTCAGGCCCCTAAGCTATGGAAGTCGAGAAATCCTACCTTGTTTTCTTCTCAGGAGAAGAGCACTGAAGGAAGATCTGTGCTTGGAAAGCCGAATGTCTACCAAGGTCCGATCACCCCAGAAACTAGACCTTTCATTTCATTGTTCAATTTAATGGTTTTGAGGGAGCGCCAAAATAATTTTTTAAGATCTCTTTTTTTCAATGAGGATTTTTATGTGATAGTCATTTTTATTGTCTACCATTTTGTACTTTGAATAGAATTCTTCTTTGAAATTAAGAAAATGTACTAGAAATGTGATACATAATTAATTTCATAAAAATGTTCATTTTAAACTAGAAATAAATCTGAGGTACTTGTAATTTAAGTGTGATTTCTATACAGGGAAAGTGTTCATATGAAAATCAAAGAAATATACTTTGGAATAAAATCCTAGTAAAGTCTAATGTTACACCTTCTCAAGTCTGATTTAAAATCAATGTTCTTCCTTTGTTTTGTTTTTTGTTTTTGTGTATTAAGAGAAATAAAAAGTTGCACTGTCCTAAACTGACATGAACACTTTCAAAACTACATTGCAAAATGTGGGCACTTCATTCCAAGTGTGAGAAAAAGATATACTAGCTTTTCAGAAATATCTCTAGTTTATAAACAGTATATCTAAATAACCATCAGTTGAAGGGGGGAGGGGGAGACTTTATAAACAAAAATGTTTCCTTATTCTAGTAAAGTCAATAATGAATGATCTTTTAATGGAATACTATTCCCACTCTATTCAGTTTGGCACCACCTGTAGGGTAGATATTTCTAAATATTTGAAACTTGGTAATTATGAAGTTTATCCATAACAATGCTCCTACCTTGAAAGTTGTACACACTCATTTAATAAACCCAGCTTTACCTGAAAAATAACAAGGAGCCAACCTTTGTTATTCTAAGTCCTGGTCTTATCTCCCTTTCTTCCCTAAAATTCTTTACTGCCCCCTAAGTGTTGTCCATCCAAAGGACATCTCAATAGAGAACAGGTGAAGAACCAATTTGTAAAATACTTTCCCCAGGATTGTAAAATGGCAGAATTTTATGACAGAACATGTTCGGTTATTAGTAATATAGTAAGGGCAAAATAAAAAAGCATTCTCCACAAAAGCTTTGGAGCATGTAGTTTCATGGCCCTTAAAGTGTGCTTCAATTTCTTGCCACTGCGGATCTGTGGAGGTTTTTTTGCACATACCATACAACTATAACATATAACCATCTCCTTGTAAACAATTTGAACACATTGGTGATAATTAAAATGCAAATGTCATAGGAACACATCTGAGAGCACTACTTAGTACTAGCTGAGGAACAGTCCAAAGGGATGAGATGATAAATTTCCAAAGGGTATAGGATGGTTAGGTTTTCAAAGCAAAAACCATTTGTTAATATTTACTTCAAATGTGTGCTACTGGTCCCTGAAAAATGCATGTTTTTAAATGTTGTGTTTACTTGTAATTTTAAATTTAACTCATCGGTATTAGGTATCCATTAATACCATAGAAGACACTATTTTTCATAAAGCAGTCACATGCATGGAAGTTAGGATTACCAACTGATATATATGTATTTTTTGCACCTCAAAAACAATCACTATAGCGCATCTCATGCTTCCACACCTTCCTGGCTGACGACCGAATGCGTCCAGGGTCCGGCTTCCAAAGCGGACGGGAGCCCGCTTAGTTCTCTGGCAGGACCCCGTCATTCTGCTGAGCCCCAAAGCCCAGAGCAGGGTCGTCTTGCCCTTTCTGGGGGGCCGCTGCTTCCGTCACAGTCTTCAGCTCCTCCTCCCCCTCCTCCTCCTCCTCTCCTTCTGGGGCTGCCACCTCTGTCCCGTCCTCCGGCGCCTCGGCAGCATTCGCATCGGCCTCTTGGACTCGCTCCGAGGACGGCGCCTCCGTGGGCCCGGCCTCCGGCCTCTCGACGGCCATCTGGGCCCCGTCCCCTGGAACTTCCTTCTCTGGAGCGGCGCCGACAGCTTCGCCGCCGCCTTGGACGGGGCATGGCTCTTGGCCGGCCTTGTGGCCCTCCTGGAGGCCGCTATGGCTACTGCTGGCACTGCCCAGCCGCGACGAGGCCACCACGGCCTTCACCGCCGCCTGGTCGGAAACAGAAAAGGGTCAGGTGTCACCTCCACTGAGCATCCCAGGTCAGAGCCCAGTCCCAGCTCTGCATTTAGGCAGTTTGCCTTATACGTCAGTGCTCGGTCTTTCAAAGTAGTATTTTACCAAGATGGTCCTATGAAAACTCATTTGGAGAATAAAGAAAAATCTCTTTAATCTTGAACAGGTCTGTGTATTTAATTTTCTTAATTGAAAGCCTGAGTAAATAAATGTGTTTGTCCAAGGATTACCAGTTTTCAAAAATTTTAGACTGTGTTTCCCAAAGTATTTGTTTCATGAAACACTGGTTCCATAGATGTATTATAGGAGGTGCTATAGGGATAAAAGAGTTCCAAGGCTATTTAATCCAGGGTATTTCGAATTAGTTTAACCCTGAAGCCCTTCCTTCAGGTGTGTTTAGTATCAGCCTGTAATTGGTGGCTGCGTAGAGCACTATTTTTGACCCCGAGCTGTTCTCTGGGATCCCTGTATATACGGCCGGTCCTAAACAATATGTAAGAGAAAAGCACCTAGTCTCTATTCCACATATACTGTATAAAAATAGATATATTTTTCTGGATAATTTTCTATGTCATTTTAATTTTTAAATTTTTACCAAGTATGGTAATTACCTGTATTATGAAATATACTTTTAAAAGATTGTTTCCCGATGTTCACATAGTCAGAAGACAACTTTCTGAATATCAGTTTCCTGAATAATGCTATTTAAGCAGCTCAGCCTTAAGCAAATGAGAAGCAGTGAGAATGTATTTGGTGAGTAAATCTCAACACACAACACATTTTCCATTGTTAACGATAAATTCTTATGAGAGGATAACACAAGACTATGTGGCTTTATACCAGCATGGTTGGGATTTCAAAGTAGGATTTTGCATTACCAGAAGAGATGAATAATAGTATTAGATAAAGAATGATGGAAATATCTTTGATAGTTCAAGATAAGAGAGATATCTTTATTTAAAGAAACAAGTCAAATGCCATCTTACCTTAAGCTTGCGCCGGGCGTTGAATTCTTGGAGCTTCTTTTGAGCAGTATCCATGTGTACAAAATTGGCTGCTTTACCTGTGACCCATGGGTGCTGGAGAGCTTGGAAGGTAGTCAGACGTTTCTTAGGATCCAAGACAATTAATTTTCTGACCTGGAGTGATAAAGAGCCATAGGGAGATTTTTATGGTGACTTAGGCTTGCCCCTCTGCTTGGGAACTTCTGGGTCCTTTTCTGTTTCCCTAGAAGTACCACTGAAAGTACTTAAAAAAAAATTTTTTTTTAACCCCTCAGAGATCACTTGGGTAAGAATGGCTTCAGCCAGTGGTAGCTGAGGGAGTCTGAAAAAATAGTGGTGTGGGCCACCTGAGAGCCCAACTGTCAGATGACTTTCCAATAAGGTCAAAGAACCAGGTCCTGGCTGGCCTGGGGACTGAAAGCTCTTTCAAGGAGAACCAGCGACTGAATGATTCTAGGCTGCACTTCGCATCGCTTAGGATTCAGAACTTCTAATACATCTCTGCGGGGATGAAATCATTCGCTCATCATCATTCTTTCTGTGGGGATTAAATGACAAATGGGGCTAGTATCACAGCCTTTATGACTATGCCGCAATTCATACATTTACGGTTCTCCCTAATCCTTTGAGGTCTTGGAGGAATAAGCAGAGTGCTGGGATAAAAGCCTATTTAGAAGTAAAGGTGTCAGTGGCTTGTGGGCATAATTTGTTTAAAGGACTGAATTCAACCGATGGCAGCCCATTCTGGCCTGCTTGTGAGAATGAGCAGACAATAGGTTGCCAGGAAGATCAACAACCCAAATAATTCCTGGTCCTGGGCTAAGAAGGGGGTATCTGGAATGAGTCAGAGACTCTGAAATCAGAAGGCATGTTCAGACCCTACTTATGTCTCTAACAACTTTTGTGGCCCTAGACAAAGACCCACATCTGGACTGAGTGCCGATGGACACTCTCCTGGGCCCTTTCCAGAGCTTCCTGCCTGCTCTCTATCTGTGAGTCTGTCTCTCTTTTGCTTGGGAGTTCAGTTTGTTCATTAAATTCCACATATGAGTGAAATCATATGGCACTTGTCTTTCTCTGGCTTATTTCACTTAGCATATAACTGTTTCCATAACCTTATCAATTCATAAAGGAGAGATGGAAGGAAGCTCAGGAAGATTCAGTGACTTGTCTAAGGTCAAACAGCTTGTAACTGGTGGAAGCTGTATTCAAACTCAGGTCTGTGCTACCTCAGAGCTCATCTTGTGGTCACTACACCGTAGTGGTTCCCAGGCAGTTGGTTTCTCCGGCCTTTGCTCATGTGTAAAAGGAGGAACTTTGAATGATTTAAGGCCTAAGGTCTTTTCTAACTCCAATTATCTAAGAAGAACTGAACACAGGCTAACAAAATCTGGCAGCGTGTCAAATGAAGAATAAATATTTGGTTCTCCTTTTGCTGCTTTTCTGTAAATTATGCAAAGAATGTGTCTTTGGGGTAGAGACACTGCTCAGGCTTAAAGTCTGAGAAGAGGTGGAGGGAGGCATAGATAACTAAGAAAACAAACACACAGCAGTAAATGAAAATCTGACAGTAGTCATAGCTATCATGGGTTGAACAGGTGAACTAATACTTTTATGGCAATGATGCCTAATCGTTAACATCCTTCACAATTACTTCCTTCCCTCCCATTCCCCAATCATCCTTTTTCTCCTCCCCATCATCACTGTCCTCTTTCTCATGAAAATGCAAAGAATTTATTGAAAGCCAATAGGTACTACAAATTTACATATACCAGCATCAATCTTTACATTTGAAGATACTGAAGCACTGAACTGTTAAGAAGCTTGCTGAAGGTCAGAGAGATCCAGGACCCAACTCCTACAGCGCCCCCTCCAACCTGAGCCCCCCACTCATGGGCACTGTCGCCTCTGTTGAAAACAGAATAGGCGCGGGTTCTGCTCACAAGTACATATTTACGGGCTCGCGGATTCCTTTAGTTGTGAAGTTTTATAAATGTATTGACCAGCAGGATTTAGTTACATGAAGAAACATCATTGCTAACCCTTTTACCCATTTAATTTTGAGATAAGTACCAGTGTCATCCCAGATAAGAAAACTAAAGCACAGAGAGGTTAGATAACAAGCCCAAGGTTATACCTTTAGGTTATGAGGGGGAGGGGGGGTGGACTTGGATCCAGCTGTGTCAAATTTTAAAAGCCCATGGTCTGTCTCTGTCTTGATTGATTGTTTCATTCCGTAAACATTCACTGAGTCTGTATCATGCGCCCCTATGGCACTAAGATCTGGGCAAACATACTTCATCCTCTTTGGAAGTTTACAATATAACTAAGGAAGGCTTTTGCACAGGTAAATATAAGTGATGAGTGTCATGAAAGAGGGAGGAAGCCCAGGGACCAAGGAACAATGTGGCAAAAAGAAGGAACCAGTTGTAGGAGGAGGAACTGCCAAAGGGGGGCAGACTAAGCCTCCCAGAGGATGTCCAATGGCAGCTATGGCTTGAAGGTAAGAATCACCCCTGCAAGAAGGGTGTGTGTATGTGTGTGTGTGTGATGGTGGGGAGGAAGAGGGAGGAAGAATGGAGGAAAGAACAGTTATAAAGTAGAAGAGAGGGCAATGGCCCATATCCAGGGCTACACAGATGAGGGATTGGAAGTCTGGTGCACTGGAGTGCAGAGTCCAGAGGAGAGTGATGTGACCTAAGTGGCACAGGAAAGAGTAACAGGCTCCAGACTGGGCAGTGTGTGTAGAGCTTGTTATAGATCTTAGATTTTACCCTAAGAGCCTTAAAGCAGGAGAGTGATTTATTTATAAGACCATTCTTCTGGATCCTGTGTAGAGAAGGGCCTGAGAAGAGGCGGGAAGGCCAGACAGGAGGTTGTGGCAATGGCCCAGTGGAGCTTGGATTGGACAGTGGTGGTGGAAAGAACAGGATGGAGTCAAGAGGCGTTTAGGAGTGTGAGGCCTGACCTGAGGGCAAAGCTGGGAGGACACATCTACATGTCACATATACTGCCTCTCTTCAGCTTCTGCTTCCAAGGCACGCTGGAAAAGTCGTGGCCTACAGGGGATCTGCCTCATGAAAGAGCATGGATGGTAAGGAGGAAATGTGTGGAGGGGGAAAAGCTTTGGATAAGGGGTCTGGACACCTGGATCATTAGTTCCCGACACAGACTTTCTACTGGGAAGCTATGTGACCTTCGGGCAGTCATTTTGCTTCTCTGGGCTTTAGCACATTCATCTTAGAAATGGGGGGAAGTCATCTTAAATGACTCCTAAAATTCCTTGGAGATCTAATCTTTGTGATCCAAAAGTCAGCTTTTAGTAGTTTCTGGAGAGGCTTGATGGTAAATGTTTTAATCCCATCCTAGTATCCTCTTTATTTCAGAACAGGTGGGCCATCTCCCCACTCATTTCCTAAATGCAAACAAACTTCAATATAAGCTTGAGTGACAAGCCAAGTAAAACAAACCAACAACAACAAGAACAAAAAACAAACAAAATGTACTGTTAGTATAGTGTCACTTGTTTACAATGCCCATGATGCATGATGGGACTTGTGTTAGTATCAGGATATTTTAATAAGTTGAAACATTTCAAGAAAAAATGTTTTATTTGAAATACAACCAAATCTAGGTAATAGCAAGCCATGTTAAAACGATTATTCTATGGAAGTGATATTTGGATTCGCCCAGCACATCTGTCTTGTCTTCCTTAATAAGGCTCTACACTGACAAGGTGGAAAATAATCATTAATTAATACTGCAGTAATTTGTAATTTTTGATAATTCAGCTAACGAGTCAAACATATCTATTTTTCATTATCTGTAAGGAAAATATATTTGCATTGTTTTATTAAAAACACAATTATAAAGAAATAAAGTATTAAGAAGGGCACATTTTAAAAAGGATACTGCCCATTAATCAGATAAAAATGGATGTGAGGGATTTTATTTTATTTTGTTTTGGTCACACTTACCAAGTCCTTGGCATTTAGAGATACTTCATCCCACCAGGGGGAGATAAAGTAATATTCACAATTCAGAATCCTCCTGAACATGAACTGATCGCCTCTTTCGTCGTAGAACGGTTCAAACCCACAAAGTCTAGAGGGACAAGAGATGGGGAATAAAATGTCCTTAAAAGTCTACATGTATTTCACCATTTATTTCTGTAGACATTCAAGGCTGTTCTTTCTCACAGCTTCCTGTTATGAATGCAAGTCTATTCAGCACAAGTATGAAATCGCCTTGTTACCATTCACTTTTGAGAGTGTAAACACACAATCATGTCTTCAGGAGGCAGAAACAGATACAAAACCAACTTAGGGTTTTTAAAAAAGCAGTTATAATAATATTAATAATCATGACACAAAACAACAATGATGATAGCTAACATCATTACAGGCATCATGCTCATGACTCTCCATGAACTTTTTCACCAGGAATCGAGACTTCACCCTCTCCCACTGCAGTGTCCGCACAGAGGATCGGGCTCCAGCGTAGGAGAGAAAGGAGCACGTGTCTACACCTTCACAAGGAGGCAGCTCAGCCTTACCTGGCCTCCGGTGCCCCCTCCACAACACTAGAAAAATATAGCCTGTTGTTGGTTAGTTATGGAGACGTTAGCCAACTTTCCAGGTTTAGTTTAGGGAACTCTTGTGTTTCCCCTTTTGGAAATCTAGAGAGAAGTGATAGTTCTGAAGGCATAGTACGCAAATGCCTTCCTTTCATCACAATCACGTTGGCAAATCTGTGCGTTGGTGACAGGTGAAAAGTTTGTCGTGTCAGCCTGAAGTGCCAAAAACGAAAGAAATGTGACACACAGCAGTGTACACACACATTACACACACACACACATACACACACACACGGAGTACAGAAACCCTTCAGAAATGGAAATATTCGAATGCTGACAAGGGCAGTTTAAGAGGGTATTAGGGTCACACAGGCCTGAAGTGTGAATGTACAATACAAGGTAGTGCCAGGCCATTGGGCAGAACTGCAGTGTTGAAAGCCGAAGGACAGTTTGAATCCTTGCCTTTATCTGATTCTGACTGTGACCTCAGCATTACAGAAGTTGCTTTTGTCTGTGGGGACAAAGGGTTTAGGTATAAAGGGGAGAGGGATGAGCATTCCTGTGAGAAACAGCAAAACGGCCTTCATCTCCAGTCTACTGTCGTCCTTAGAAACAGCAGAGTCACAACCCAAAATGGCCTGGTGGAACTTTCAATAATAAAGGAGATGCACAGGTCCAAGGACACAGTCCACTGGAGAAAATGTTCCAGTGAACCTTGCCTGGTAGACTTCATCAATTATTAATGAACTACAGATTAAATAAAAAGTCCCCAGACACCCCGGCAACCGGCAAGGAGACACCTGATTGGTGGTGTCAGGAGCAAAGCAGACGTGCAGTCCTTGGTTCATCCTAGCTCCATGCCCGTGTGGGTGGCAGAGCTGACAGAAGTTAGACCAGAATTAAGGGATATTAGTTGTAAACGGCAATCTTATTTTCATTCTGGGTGTTCCAACTGCTTGCTTTCAACCAACACCTATTAATCAATGACCTTAAGTAAACTACGAGAAAGGACCTTGACAGACTTTTAAAATTATTTTCAGGGCTATAATAAGACGTGTCTCCAATGATCACACATTTTTCTCTTCATTTTTCCATGTCAGTGGCAATACATGGAGTTTAACTCATTCCATATTTCAGTTTTTCAAGGCGAATATAACTTAATTTCCTACCTTCATCTGTCTGAGTTCCTATTCAGCCTTAATGCTTTAAACTCCTCCCATAACATTTCAACATGAAATTGTAACTGGTTGGGTATATTTACATTTTAGGCGCAAACCTGACTCATTATTTGTGTAGTTCAGTTTTTCACTTAATCTCCAGAACTGTGAAAATAAATTTCTGTGTTTAAGCCACCTGGTCTGTGGTATTTTGTTATGGCAGCCTGATCTGACAATACACTTTCTTTTACACCCTCTAAAATCTCTTTACAGACTTGAATATACAGGTTCCAACAATTAACCCTGCAGTATCCTCGAAATGACAACCAAATCTACTTGATTTGAATTAAATTCTGGAACTCATTGATATCTTGCTTTTTAGCTGTTTTAGACATCTTCCTCACCAGGCATTCTTCCATCATTTTTTCTTAGTTCCCTTGTGTTCGTCTGCAATTCCATCATCTCTTTGGCAGATTTCTTGAAACCCCTTGTTTATTAGTAGACAGGAGCTCAGGAATGGAATTGGGGATAACAGAGAGTGAGACATTTAGCCCATTTTTTTCTACCGGAGAAAATGTTTCTCTGAGTTTAGGGTATTAAACTCGAGATCCTTGAGAATCTAACATATAGGAAACAAAATTGATAGCCAAAACACATTTAAACCATTTCTGATAAGAAATGTACCAGTTTGGGATTGCTTAAGAGATTAAACAGCTATTTTTCCCTTTAAAAAGAACCAATACCCTAATTATTTTGACCAGATGCAAGTAAGTAAAATAAGAGCTTTTGAAATAGGTGAACATGAGTTTCACATTCATTATTATCACCAAATAATGAACTGTTCCCCAAATCTGCTATGCATTGCACAGCAGAATGAAACATAAAAAGCCCTGGACAGAAGTTTTAGGCCCAAGAAAATTACCAAAAAAAAAGCAATGCTCATTTTCAGAAAATTCTATCATTAACTATATTTAGTATGTCATAGAAAATCTCAAAAAGTCAAAACTTAATCTTGCTTTTAATGAGGACTGTGAGTACCTAGCAAATATCATAGTAAAGGCAGACAGTTTACATAAAGATTGCTTTTCTTCACTTACAGGATGTAGGTGATTATCCCTACAGACCACATGTCCACCTCAGGTCCGTAGGCGCAGCCTCTAAGAATTTCAGGTGCTGCAGGAAGAGCAAAAATTGTGTTAAACTGGAGCTAAAATCAACACCTACATTTGAATAACAGGCAATGGGGAAGAAATGAATTCATCAACATAAACTTCAGAACAGTTTCTAACCAATCTTCTCTCCCCAAACCAAAGTAGGAGGCTACAAATTCTTATGTCTATGTTAGTGGGAGAAATTATAGTCTCTCTGTGTTCAGAGTGCATAAAAAGAAAGCTATTAGCTTTAATATTCTACATCATGTAGAGCTCTGTCTCTGCTACAAAAGACCCCTTACTTCAAAGGGAGCTTTGTACATGGAAAAGAAAGGAAGGAAAGTTTAGCATAGTAAGAAAAACAGGTACAAGTATGCTGCCTTGAGAACTCGGTCTGCTTGGAGCACAGGGTGTCCATGTATGTGTGTGTGACAGTGTACAGGCCAGAGACCAGGGCAGATGGTGGGAAGGACTGGAAAGTCACTTGTGCTGAAAGGTTGGACCAGGAGCCAGGAGGCACCCTGGCATATGCCCCTCTACGGTATTGAGAACTACACATAGGTCCCCCGAGAGCAGCTGTCCCCATGAGTCTGAGATTGTGAACTGAGAAAGAAGGGTTTCCCTGGGTATAATGAGGCTCCTCCAATCAGCCCTGCCCACACTGTGAAGGAAGAAGGGATCTCAACTACAAAACAGCCCTGTAGTATGGAACTGTGAAGAGGTCTTTCATGTTTTTACTTTTGCAGCTGTGAAAATGTAGTTAACTGAGCCTAATCATTTGCCCCAAGGATCCGTAGTAAGGCGCTGTTGGTTTGCCTTACTAACAAAGGAAGCACAGAAGTGAGGGCTCTAACATCTATGCAGAAATAGGGCTCAGGACGACAGCCCAGAGGGTCCTGTTTCTATTTTGAACAAAAGTGCTGTAGGTGTCAGTGGGGTCTCTGAGGAAGGAGCTGATTGATGAATAATCAAGGCTGGAGGCCTTGGGGATGGGGGCACCACACCACATGCCTCCTTCCCACTGGGGACAGGAGAGCAAGGGAACTGGATCTCTGTCCACCCAGGTAGGCTGAAAGTGCCATATTGCCAAAGTGAGCTCTAGAAGGAAGCTGTCCTCATGGGACTCTGGATTTAACTTATAGGAAGAAACACAGTGGATTTTCCCCTGACATATTCCCATCTGCTCCCTTCTCCCCATCCTTTCCAATCAGGATAGTCTCATTCCTGTAGAACTTGTGTTCCATTAGCTACAGGAGATGGAGAGCCTGCGTGGTGAAATGGGAGTGGGCCTTACAGAGCTCTAAGCTGCAAGTTAGCAAGTTCACCCTTGACAGAATCATATCTGGGGCCAAGGAGTTTTTCTCATCCATAGGCAATTTATTCCTAGAAAATTTCCCTTTTAAGATGTAATTAACATAATTAAGAAAAATGCATGCTCCATGCCAACACCATGCACTCTGTCAGGTTAGTTTTCATTTCCCAGAGCAATCTGTACCCCACAGACGGTTCCTCAGGGCCCCAGCAGCCCCGACACTGAACTCCCACTCACAAATGCTTTGTTCGTCATAGTGCGTTGGAAACTCAAGTTAGCCTGCCACTCTCACGAGAGATCCTATGCCTGTCTGTGTCTCAGAGCTGTTCAGTCTGGGAGCTGAAATGCATGCACAGAAAGTGCTCTCCCTGCTCAGTTCTTCACAGCAGTGAAGTGCTACCAAGTCCCACACTGCCATTTAAACATAAATACAGAAGTATGCTGGGGAGAGTCTTACATTTTCTGGGTCTTGGTTTCTACCTCTAAAATATGAATGAACTGGACTGACTGTTTCCAAGTTTACTTTGAGTTTTAACCTGCAGGCTACTGGGATGTCGGTAAAGGGAGAGTCACTGACAGTTTAAGCAAGAGGAGACGACAAGCGCTCTACCTGCGGAGCCTGCCAGAGTGCCTTCTGTGGCTGCTGCTCCGTGGGCTCATCTGTCGGCTCCTGTGAAATCAACCCTCCCAGCCTCTGCTGTCTAGAGGTCAGCACGTTGTCTCAAAGGTCAGGTGCTTCCTCTGGCCATTCTTCATAGCTCCCAGGCGAACAGCCCCGGATAAAGTGAATCCCGTGGAACAAACTTCCTTTGAACCCACTTTATAGAGCATCTAGATTTCTTACTGGGCATGGCAATATCTGCTCCCCCTTCACAGCACTGGGTGCAGCCTTACTTTCCAGAGGCAATGTATTTCCTCGTAAGGCACGTGCTGCAATGCGAGTACACTCGTGGTGTGAAAAGCTAAACTTTCCACCATGAGGCTCACTGAGGCAAAAGGAATATAGAATGTTTTTGTCCCCCAGAACAAATTTTTCTTAAAAAGATTTTAATAAAGGAATTTATAATATTTATTAATCGTAAAATAAAATTTGGGTGAAACAAACTCTAAACACCTAGACACAATTAGATACCATTCCTACTATCCTTTAAATATTTTCCATTACTAGTTAATGTGACCTTGACTTCAGAGCCAGCAAAACATACAATTGTGATCTATCCCTTTCCAAGAGCCAAAGGTTTTCAAGAATGAATTTCAGGCTTTGGCACACCAGGGCTTCAAGTCTCCTAGGTATCAAATGTCCTTGCAGGTGAGCCTACAAATCCGTGATTTTCTTAGAGTGAGAAATAGTTAACTACTTCCAATTTAGTTCAAGAAAAGACATTAGCTAGTCCACCTTTCAATGCTATAAGCACATCTTGCTATCCTTCATATCTTTTCTCACCTCATTGCCAAAACAAAAACCAACAAAGTGGAGGAAGGAGAAAATCATTTCAGGTGTAATAGAGTCTTTCAGAATGAATTTAAAATAATTTAGAGTCATCTTTTCTGAAATAGTCAATAATCATTTATTGATTTTCCTGGCTATCTTCTAAGTGGATCTAAGTTTTCTGCCCATTCTTAAAATTGCCTTATCATTAATGCTATTGCCCATAGAACACTCAATTCTACAGAGCTCCTAGGAGAAGACATACTGCAACCTCCAATACAGGATGATTTTGGAACTGCCAAGATACCAGACATACCTTTTTAAAAAGCAATTTTAACTGAATATAAAATTATATTAAAATCCCAACTCTAATTATAACATTTATTCACCAGTATGCCACTTAGACCTCACAGTCCTGTTGTTTGTTTTTTAATAAGATCATGGTACCGTTAAAATATCTAGAGATTGATTTCTATCTAGAGATAGGAGTGAATGCTGATTTACTAAATAAACCCACTGTACCCCAGTTCTGGACATGGTTTTACATAAAAGACATCAGGTGCGACCTACGACATGCAGGGACCCTCCGTGCTAGGTTTTCCCTCTTTTCCTAAAGCCCTAGGAGGAAAAGAGAGGATGATTTTCATCCTCAATTGCACCTTCATTTTGTCAATGCCTAGATGAGCTTTATGATCCCTTCCTACCTGTTGAGTGAAAACTACAGCGTGACATTCTTTATCAGAGGGCTTTTTCAAACTCCTGTTAACTGTTTGGAGAAAGACAAATCCAACAGAGACTGAGGTGAATGAAATCAACAGGTTCACTCATTCACTCATTAAAGAAATTGTGAGAGATCTATTAAGCACCTGCTGTATGACAGGCAGTGTGCTAGGTGGTGCTAGGGGAAGAATAATGGGAAGTTAAAGAGAACAAGCCTCTGCCATCATGGAGCCTACAGTTTGGTGGGGGAGGTAGATATTAATCAAGAAAACCATGTGAAGAAACACAAAGTGGTTGCTGGAAGTGCTTAGAGGGACAGCGTCTCTGAGAGAGGGCTGACCTGGTCAGAATGAGCAAGCAGTTTAGCCTGAGATGTAAAGGACCTGGAGAAGCTAACTAGGCAAAGGGAGAGAGGGTGGTGATTGGGGAAAGAGAGAGAAGAGGGTTCCTGGTGGAGAAAGCACATATGAAGGGACCTCGAGGCAGGAAGGAGCAAGGGGCAGTCAGGAGCTGGGAGAAGTCAGTGTGGCTGGAGCACCGCCCTGCGTGTGCAGTGAGGCTCAGCTGTGATGAGCACAGGGCAGGCAGGTCACAGCCAGGCTGCAGATTCCAGGTCAGGGCTGCTGTTTGTTTTTAAATTCTCTCCTATGATTTCATTTTAGCAATTCAAAACCTATGGGGGCGGGGAGGGATCTATTTTCATCTTAAAGCCTGAATCTGTCTTTGCTCCTATCGTACAGCATAGGGCAGTTTTCACTGTAGAGGCTTGTCTTGAATTCAGTTTCTTGGGGCCACAAAAATCCACTGGCATCACCAGCACAGCCTCCAGAAGTCTCTCTAAACTTGGCCTCTGGGGAGTGAGCAGTGAGAAAGGAGGAGAGTTATTTATCTGTCAGAAGCAGAAGAGCAGTGTCTGGAAATAGTCTCTGCTTTTTCTCTGTTCCCAACTTGACCCAGAAACCCATCAGAGAGGATGCACTTGGGCAGCCTCCGACAAGTGGCAGAGGGCCCACGTTGGGTGGACTCCTATGTTACTGTGTTGCATACATTTGGCAAGTACAGGGCACAACCTTTTTAACTCTGTCATGTGCAATTTTTGCTCTGACAGCAGAGAAGAAAGGCAATGTCCCAGTGCCCTGCGCTGAGTGTTAGAGTAAAGCTGCGGATCAGACTGGGAGGCCGCAGGAGCAGCCCTGTCGGTTTCCTGCAGCGCCTCCTGGAATCCTACCAATTCTCTGCCTGCAGTGCTGCGAAGGGTGGGAAGCACTGAGGAGGCCCTGAGGCCTCTGTCACTTTCGTTATCTATGACTTGTTAGCGAGGAGAAAACAGTTTGAATGATGTTTTAAAACACAAATGATATGTTTTATGTTCTAACTCGTCCTTTCCATTTTCCTGGGCTCTCGGTCTTTTACACTAGAAGTATCAGTCAATCCACCCCTCTCTAAATAATTTTCATTTAAGTTGTTCAAAAAGTCTTTGTCGTGCGAACTGTGTAATATTTCTCTCTAAATCTTATAAATGGGTGAAGAAAGCTAGCCTGTTTCCTTTTTTTCCCCCCCA